CTATGCTCATGATCCTATTATCAGTCTCCTCTCCTCCTGAATGGCAGAAAGAACCCCCCGCCCTTCAGTGCATGCCTGTCCAGGTCTCCCATCTTCACAAAGGTAACTGGGTTATCAGGGCATCTCTCCTTCCCCCTCTAATTTATTTGGGTGCCAGACCATAAAGGAGGGAATTTTCTTCCTCCCATGCCCTGGGGTAGTTCCAGCCCTCACAGTGGTATGATTTTACACCTCATCCTTAAAGCAGATCATTCCTGACCAGAAATTCCTGTTGTGTTTGCCAGGAGGAAAATAAATGCTCTTCTCCATATGGGGCCCTCTTGAAGGGAAGCTTTCTGTAGCTTTTAAAGCATTTCTTCTGGGACCAACAGATAGCATGGCAGTTACAATACTGGACTCCCACATGGCCAAAAGTGTTTGAGTTCCAGACTCAGAGGCTTCAAATTCATGCTGGGCATGTATGCATGAATGCCCAAAATCCCAAGAGGAGAATGGTGGAGAAGAGATTGCAGTCTGGCCATCCCATGGGAAATAGGGGTGATTTCTCACTTTCTGTCTCTCTGGCAAGCACACATGCCCTATAGCAAAAATCTCTCTAAACAAGAAAATGCATTTTCTCTGAAAGGTCCCTTATGGGGATGGACAGAATTTCTTCACTTTTTCCTGTCCCTTAGGATGCTCAACTTTCAGGGTGGGGCGGGGGGAATCTTTGTTTCCTTTTTTATGAGAACTAGTTGTCAAAACCTCTTAGAGTTTTAGTTCAGGCAGGTAAATGGCAATGGGATAGAGAACAGAACTGGGGTCAATCCAGTTCTGCTTTGCAGGACACCATCAGCAGAAATCCTGACTAGAAACGGATGCTAAACCCTGTTATGGTATGTACTGTTATGAGAGAAAAGAAGGGGCCTCCTGTCTCAAGAACCTGGGAGGCACAGGACTGGAAAGCCAGGTTAAGTCTAGAGCTCCCAAAAAAAGAGAAGAAAGAAAGAGAAAATGCCTTCTCTCTGCTGAAAGGAAGGAAAACTGAGGAAGGCAAAGGGGACACTCTTCCCCTTCCTGCTTTCTGGTGTTCTCTTCTGTTTTCTTTTCCAGATGGGGAACCAACTCCATCTCTCAAGACTCTCCCCTTGGGTGCACCTCAAAAATTAGGACAGATTTGAGCCCCTGATTTTAAAGAAGAAGATTAATCTTCTGTAATATGGCCTGATCTCAATATAAGAGAAGACCAAGAGGACCAGCCAGAGAATGAAAGCCTAAACTATAGAACTCCTCTGCCA